ATACACTATTAAATCATTGAATACAAGTTTACATAAAAGCAAACACAGAGACATGGTTATTAAAAAAGTACATTGCCCTTTTCAAACCAAACTATCACAGAGAAGAAAGGAAAATTGAGAGTTGAAATACTGGTAAAGAAAAGCCTCTTTAATCAAAATTTCTGGGAAGTGTGATCATGAAATAATATCAACAACCAAAAAAAAACAAAAAAATAATTCAACCCCATTACCTCTCTCATCCCTATTTTCATTTGCGTCATTAGTCACTGAAAGTGAATCATGTTTAGCCAAGTGTGCATTAGCCAATTGAGTGTTAACCCACTTATTTGCATCTCGCAAGGATAAACCCTTTAAAAATACACGACTGTTGTATTCACTTCTAACATCCCGAGATGGCGCTTGACATCCTGGACAACAGCGTCTTTTGTTAACCATGTGAGTATACATAAACTCTTTGCTAATTCGATGTCTGCAATCTGTGACATTTTTAGCAGTCGATTCTCTTCTGGCTTCTTTCCTGTCTATATTTTTTAACTCCTTTCTTAAATGTTCATCCACAGCTGTTATGCACATATATTCAGGCTGACTTTGCTGCTCATTATCAAGGGGGTCTGGACAATTCAGAGTACCAAAGGCAATTTGTTGAAGGTCTTCAGCAACTGTGATTAACCCATAATCTAACACTTTCATCTGGCTGCAAGACACAACAAAATATGGTGACAGTTAAACTGATCCTGCAAAATTAAGGGTTTCTAGCTGCTGATCATCAAAGATCATTCACAATCAGAGTTTTTATTTTAGTAAGTGCTTAAAGTGAATATCAACATTTGTTGGTATAAAGTGAAGTTGTGATATTGCCACAATTTTTCTCCCCCTTATAACTTTTTGGAATGACACCAGTGATATAGGAAGCCATAATAATTCACTTCTAATGTTGATAGACTGCTTCATCAGATTAGGGGAACATGTCATTATGAGACTTTTTCTTTGCAGAAAGCATCAAACTTATGGTTAGGGTAGACCTTTATCAGTGTTTTAAATTAGTAAAAACAAAAATTTGAGGTGCTATTTTGAGAAGAACCAACTTGAATAAGTAAAATCAGTGGAAAGGTTAAGAAACAAATTATCTTAAGGACCAAAATTTTTTGGCTCTAGCTTTATCTTATCCAGATAAAATTTATGTGCTAGCTTTATCTTATCCAGATAAAATTTATGTGCCCAAAAGTCTGAAACAGTGGATTTCTCTTAAAACAATAAAATTGAGCATCAAGTTTGACTGCACTAACAATCACTCTGTACAACTTTCATAATGAGTTAATCTTCATCATGTAGGGATTTTGTAATGTTTATGTTGATGGCTGACTAAATACCCAGCAGCCAGGCACAGTCTTAAATAGACTAAATGCCCAGCAGTCAAAATTTTTCATGCAATTTCCACCAAAAGAATCTTTCAAATTTCTTAAGAATATCAAACGTTTATTAAGGAATGTTAAGTGATTCCAAAAATTTATTTGGTTTTTTAGTGGACAAATTCTCCAGGCTTGTGCATACTATAATATCACTTGGTTGTTGACAACTTGGAAATTCTATACTTCTGATCAGACTGCCAGGCATGTTCTCAAATGGACTAAATGCCCAGCAGTTAGAAATATTCACCATAATGCCACTGAAAGGTTCCCTCAAAGTTCTGAAGAGTATCAGATATTTGCTTAGAAATGTCAAGCAATGTAAAAAATTGCATTGGTTTTTCAGCAATCAAGCTTGAACCACATAAACATGTTATTAAGCTTGGAAGGTCTGGCTGGTTTCACGGAACATGGACAACCGAGTGATATTGTAGTAATTGTACAAGCTAGGAGAATTTGTCCACTAAAAAACCATATTAATTTTTGGAATCACTTGACATTTCTTATCAAACATCTCATACTCTTGAGAAGTTTGAAAGAACCTTTTCATGAAAATTGTGTGAAAATTTTTTACTACTGGGCATTTAGTCTATCTGAGACCATGCCTGGCTGCCAGGCATTTAGTCATTGCATATGTTGATTGCTTTCCTGCTACTTCTCTTTTGAATTTCTCTACAAACAACAAACTGATCAGTTACTGGGAAGCCATATTGCCTGAAAACATTCAAGAGAAAATGGAAATCTTACACATGGCATATGTTTTTGGGTAACTTGAAAAGAAAGAGGCATTTTTGAGTCTTCAGGGCAATCCATTGGGTTTTCATACCCTTATGATTTGTGCAAAGAGGACTTGACTGCATAATAATGTCAATACTGTGTTGTAATTCATGTACTGGAAACCTCATCTTTGCCCTAAATTTGATGCCAGAAAAAAAAATCAAATGGCATCACGTTGAAACATAAATGAAAACAATGCCTAAAGGAAACTTTTACCCACAAAGCTAATGAGTATAGACTCCATCTGACCTACCTTAAGAAGACGTGCATGACAGCTCTCGAAAAAAAAAGATCTCCGCACCTGAAACATGACGACCGCAAAATCGCTAATAACTCTTTGAAAAATAATGGATGATACACTGGTAATGGAAGCTCGACATGACCAAAATGTCCAGGACAGTAAATGTAGTTCTGTGCACATGTTCCACACAAGTCATCTTTATCTGTAGGACCTAATGCTGGGTCATAAAGACCTCCAAAATTCGGATGTAACAACGCATCAAACGTTTCAGGATTGGTTAACTTTTTAACACTGATTTTTTCGCTTTCATCAGGTGTATACAAAGCTAGTCTTAGACCTTCCAAATAATGAAAAGGAACCGCATTAGGCCCAAACATCTCAGTGTTTACGCTCATCCACGTGTTTGGACACCTCACATTACAGTACATGGACAAGAGAGGTTCAATTATTATCCGCTAAGAATTTATATTGCTGGCTCTCAAATTTTAACATGGCGGGAGTGTTGGTGGGAATTACAACAGTAATGACAGGAATGTGTGCCAAACTGTTTGTCGGCAGAAGTATTAATATCTTTTACAGGTAGGCTTACAGCTAATATCTGTAATAGCGCAGTTTTAAAGCATCCCGAAGTCAGAATTTGCTTAACCCCGACTTTTTAACTTGATTACACTTTCTGTGTATCATTTAAGGTGATTTGGTGTTATTAACTGAGTAGATAACGTAATAAAGTATGTGCTTATTGTTCATTGTGGTGTTAGACAGGAGATGAGCTTTGTTCGTTTGTCTCACGATAGAGTCACTTATAATGTAGACTGCGACGTTTCGACTATAATACTGCTAGTCTTCATCAGATGATGAAGACTAACAGTATTGCAGTCGAAACGTCGCGATCTACATCATAAGTGACTTTATCATGAGACAAACGAACAAAATTCATCTCCTGAGTTGATAACGTGAATTGGCCACCATTAAGAGTTTCAAAGCTGACGTTTCGAGCGTTAGCCCCTCATCAGAGCCAAACTGACGGGGATTCAAGGTCAACTTCTCACAAAATTTGTGGACGTAAACTATATAATGGTCTCCAGCCAGATATTGATATTTGTATACAAGGAGCACACGCAGACCATACTGTGTCCATGGTTAATGATTGTTGATATGAGATAAACAAAATCTATGAGGATTATGAATAAAGCTCTAAAAAATGCATATCTATATTACATCTTGGTCTGAATATAAGGAATAGAACCTCAGACCTTTGGATTCTATGCTCTAATGCTCTATGGTAAACAAAGCCCATTACCAAGTTTACACACAATGTGCATCCTGCATACTGCTCGGATCAGCAATGTCGTTAGTGTCATGTTTTGTTAAAAGAATGAAAAAGATGGCAAGTTTTTAGCTCAGTGACAAAATATAAAAAGATGTCTTTTGGTCTTTTCACAAGCGTAGGACAAAGAAAATATTCTGGATCTTCATGAAGAATCCAACCTCAAACCTTTGGATTCCATGCTGTGGTACTCTACCATTGAGCACAGAGACTCTATGATGAGCAAGGTCCATTACAAAATTGATATATACTGCTGATACTGCTGCATACATTGCTGATCCTGGCAGCATTTTGGACTCATGTCATATATGAACTTTGTGATATCTGTCATGCAGAGGTAGAGCATCACAGCACCAAATCAAAAAAGTCTAGGTTCAATTCCTAGTGGGACTCAGAATTTTTCTTTGTCCCATGCTCATGACAAGACTAAAAGACATCTTTCTTTATTTCTTTACCAAGCTCAAAACCAATTGTAACTGAAAAAATTATCAGCAACACTCTACAAACACATCACCTGTGAACACTATTAAGTATTTCAAAGGCCTGACAAAAAACATGTTGGCCAATTGTCAATTACAGCTTAAGTTGGATTAGAATCATTGCCTTTCCCCATTTTAAACATAGTTCAAGGTGGATTTATTAATGCAGTAATTTTCTCCCTTATTTCTAGGAAGGGAATTTTCTTTGATGCTGTTAAGTCCACAGCAACCAGCTCTTGTACAACATCAGACAAAACTGCTAGGATGACTGGTCTGTCAAAGCAGTATCTCTCAATAAAGAACAAATATCCTGAATTCATTGTACTCTTCCAAGTCGGGGATTTTTATGAAATCTACAGTGGTGATGCTGTGAAAGTTGCAGAGAAAACTTCTCTGCGAATTTCGAGAAATCCAAATGTTAACAAATTAATGGCTGGCTTTCCTGTTAGGTCTTTGGATAGTTGGCTCTCAACTCTTGTTCAGCAGGGGTTTCAACTGGCAATCTGTCCACAGTTTCCAGACAAGTGGGTAAAATGATAATCTGGACTTGAATGTAAAATATCTCAGTATGTCAGGTACAACTTGTAAGGATTATGAGGAGAATCATGCCATAACAACTACTAGGTCAAGGAAATTATTATTGCTTTATCATAAATATGTCTCTCACAGGACACCGTCTACATCTAAACTACTTCATCGTGAGGTTGTAAGACTTGTTACACCAGGAACACTGCTTGATCCTCTCAAACCTGATGCAAACTACCTTATGAGCATTGCTTGTGGACCAGACTGCTCACTTGGCCTTGCCTGGCTTGATTTGTCAACTGGTGAATTTCACCATGGTCTCTCGCTCCTAGAGAATTTGGAGGAAGACTTGTCAAGAATTAATCCAGCAGAGGTGGGCATTGTATCATGCAATACAGTCAATTCTAATATATATCACAACCTTTCTTCATAACTACATACAGCTAGTCTTCTTCAGGAGATGAGGTCAACTGGTTGCTTGCCAACATATGAAGTATTATGCTCTTCTGTGATTCGGCATTTGGAAGATCTGTTGCTCTAGCATTAATATTTGATAGATATCACATCAATTAACTTGAAATTTATCAAAGAAGGCAGTGTTCTACATTCTTTTGGCTTTAGGGTTACGGTTAGCCCTAAGTGTGATTGTAAAGTAGTCTCTGATTTGATAACAGGTTACATACAGTTGAAACTGTATCAAGTGGCACTGTATCAAGCAGTCACCCTGTCTAAGGAGTTCAGTTGTCAAAGTCCTGAAATTTTTACCCCCTATCTAGTGTCATTTTTCACCTCTATTGTGTAGTCATCTCTAGTAAGCAGTTGTGGTAACCTTTGACCAAGTCCCAACAGCCTTTTTGTACTGTTTTCCACCTGTACTGAATGGTCACTTAAAGCAAACCCACTCAAATAAAACTAAGAATAATCTTTCATGTAATATTACATGTAATCCATATATATTTGCCAAAATCAGTGTTAATTGTATTAGTGAGCACATTTTGTGGTCAATTATGGCATAAAATGACATTTTATATTGTTTCTTTATAATACTCTATTCTTTAGAACCTGTATTAAGCTCCCACCAAAAGCTGTTTGCGGTGGGTGATCACTTAATATAGTTGTGACTGTTTCTAGCTATTTGAGGTTGTGGAACAGTTGTTTGGACACATTTTTATGATACAACAGCAATGGATTTAAATCAGTCAGAGGCTCAATACAAAGCAACTCTTTAGCAAGTGAACCTCAACACCTTAAGATGACCAGCAGTTTGCACATAAAGGTTGTGATCCTTATCAGAAGTGAATATGTCACAGGTCAAATGATAATACATCATTACTATAGCATTCATCATTACCACATCCTTATAGGATATTACCAATAATGTTCAGGCATGTTATCTAATTAGCATAAGCTTAAAATTCTGATTGGGTATGGGTTCTGTTCTGTTCTATAATACTATTAGCACTAAATAAGGCTCTTTAAAGAATCATGTACACAATGGAACTCTTATTGGGTTGTCCACCTCTATCTTGTCCTTTAAGAGACCCAAAAGACCAGAGAATTAATGAATGTATCTCATCTGTGACATAACATTTCAATGTGTTTAAGTGTGGTTTCACCACCATTGCCAGTACAACTAAAATTCAGATCAGTTCAAGGGGAATCTTATCCTTAACCTGGACAATGATCTACTCAGAACTGAAAAAATATTTTTCAAGGGTTCCATGTACTTAAATCCATTATCAGGGACATACATTATGTTGGTAATGAGAAAGTCAGAATTCTTAATCTTTTCTTTTTCAATGTCCTCACTGGAACAGATTTTAATGGCTGAAGAACACCTGACAAGTTTAGGTACAAAGCACAATCATAAAACAGGGATAAATATCAAAAGGTCCTCCTTAGAGAATGTGAGGGATTATCACCTCACCATTGTCCCTTCAGACTGGTTCACAGTGGATTCATCACATCAAGATGGTGCATTGGCAAGATTGTTGAAGTCTGTAAACTTTTCACAGTTTTCATCCTTAGAGATGGCTGCTGGATATTCCCTTCTAAAATTTGTATCTTATACTCAGAGAGACATTGCTCCCCTTCTCAATCAACCATCCAAGTTTTCACTTCAAACCCATATGGCAATAGATTCAAATACAAGACGAGCTCTGGAACTGACAAAATCCTTGGTGGGTACAGACTCAAAAGCTACGCTTTTTGGAGTCATGAATAACACTGCAACTGCATCAGGGCAAAGACTGCTTTATTCCCGCCTTTGTGCACCCTCAAATGATGTTGATGTGGTACAAAAGAGATTGAATGTAGTTGACTTCTTTTGTATGAACAGGCATCTTGCTGAGGACATTCAGAAGGCCTTGAAATCATGTCCAGATGTAGAGCGTAAGATGCAAAAGGCAAGTTGTTAGTCTTGTAATATACATTTATTCACCCAAAATGAGGCAAAGCAATGATTGCAACACCTTCTTAAAAATGAACATTATGAATATGAATTTAAATTATTAATTTCTGCTCATTGATTTTAGTAGGCTGGAGGATGCCTTTTTTACCGGCACAATTGCAGAAAGGGATTGGATACATATGTAATTGTAACCTTGTTTGTAAGGCTTGGAAAATTGTGCTCTCCTTGAGTACTGCCCCTCTCCATCCCATGCAATGTTGAATGAACAGTTTTATGTCACTGAAGTTTGCATTTTAGTGATATCCAATACTGTCAGTGGCAATTTAATGGATGTACTGAAATATATTATCTGTCCTAGATAAAAAAATGGGGTCCTTACAAATTATTTATCACAATTTGTCAGGGTATAGCTTGTGTTGAAGCCATACACAGAATATAGTGATTTGCAATATGCCCTTGATATTTTGCCCTCTCCAACATACCATAGCTGTTGTGGGTACCACTTTAATACCTACACTTTTTATTACCTACCCAACAAGTTAGTCTTATTCATATTTGCTTAAAAGGTTGCAACAGGGGCTGCTAGTCTGAGTGACCTTCATGCCATATACAGTGCAATAGCTCTCTACAAGTATATTCTCTTGCTGCTCCATGATACATACTTTAATGTTAACCTACAAGCTATTGAGGAGTTGCTGATGAAGGACTTCAGTTTGCTTGATGACTTGTACAGAGAGTTGGATACAGCAGTTGGTAAAGTTGAATCAGATCATACTGTCATGAAAGGCTACTCCAACAAGGCAGATGAGATCAAGGAGAAACTGTGCAAAAATATGAAACAAGTTGACAAGTTAAGAGATGTTTACAGGTACTTTTCTGAATTTAATGTATGAACATATTTGCCTGGAGATAATTATTTTAGCTCACAAAAGGTCTTAAACTCTTAACTAAATGTGCCAAAAAAAATACAAAAACAAAAACAGACTGTCATTATCCAGCTATCTTTACCTCAGGGTAACCACTAATGCATATACATGTACTTTTCCCACAATTTGAATTAAATGTATCATGAGGATTTTTACCCTATCATACAAGTTTCCAATGTCCTGTTTTCCCATTTAACAGAAAATTTGAGAACCCTCTGTAGTAATCTTTAGTAGCACTTTTTTTGGTTGATTCCTCATTACAGAGTGAGCCTAAAGATTCCTCGCCTGACTATCAGCAACCACAAGTCCTTCATACGAGTTGTAGAAATACCTTTAAGTCAGAAAAACTCTCTAGGGTGGAACCAAGATTTTGTTTTTTTGGAAAGTACCAAAGACAAAGCACGCTATATTACTTTAAAACTCCAAGAGCTGAATGCAAAATGGAAAGCTTTACAAGAAGAAAATGAGATTATTCAGCGGGCATTGTCTGATGACCTTTGCAATCAGGTATATAACATAATCTTATGAACTATTATTTCCAGCATCTGTAGAGACGTTCAGTGTTCATTTATTTACCCTAATCCCCTCACAATTGATTAACGGTCTTTCTTTGACGGGCTTGTTTTGGTCCTCTGCCTCTGTACCATCATAGCACAATTTCACAGAAGGGAATAATCCTGAAAGTTACAAATCGTAGTGAAGCATAGAAACGAGTTTGAAGGCTCTGAAAAATGTAAATTTGTCAGTCACACACTCACAATACCTTCTACAACTGATGTTGTAAACATAACTCTGTTATGAACTGAGCAAATGTAGGTTGAAGCTGTTATCAACTGTTGAGAAACAAAAACTGTTCCTGGCTGAACAGAAAGGTCCAGTTAATAGAAAAAGCAATAAAGGAAGTAAAATGAGTGTAATGATTGTAGATATATGAAAATCATATATGTGCACTGTGGTGAAGAAACAAATATAAGAGATGCTTGCAGCTATAAACACTACTAAACTGTCTAGTAGTTGAAATAAGACCTGGAAAGAATTCAGGCCCATATGGGATTTTGAACCCATGACCTTTGGGAGACAGGTGCAGCGCTCTACCAACTGAACTAACAAGCCAACTGGGAGCTGGTCATTAACTTGGGTCCAAATAAACCATCCAAGTGATGAATAATGATTGTAGATATATGAAAATCATATATGTGCACTGCGGTGAAGAAACGAGTATAAGAGATCCTCGCAGCTATAAACACCACTGAACTAGTAGTTGAAATAAGACCTGGAAAAAATTCAGGCCCATATGGGATTTGAACCCATGACCTCTGCAATACCAGTGCAGTGCTCTACCAACTGAGCTAACAAGCCAACTGGAAGCTGGTCATTAAGTTGGGTCCAGTGCACATATATGATATACACATATGATTTTCATATATCTACAATCATTATTCATCACTAGTACAGTAGTGTTTATAGCTTTGAGGATCTCTTATATTCGTAAAATGTATCTCTTTAGTGCCATTGAGCTAAACTTGATTTAGACTATGACCCATACTGACAAAGCATAGGTTAGCAGAAGACATGGGTTGTTCATAGGTTTTGGAATAAACCAATTGAGTAAACAAGATGACATCCCAGAAAAGGCAGGTAGTGGCACATCTCTTCAGGTAGAAAGATTTTTGCAAAAAATAATCTGATGGAAAACTTGAGCAACCCATTGGAAAGCAATTGCAGCATTCTTTGGTTAATATCTGTTTTGCTGGCAGCTGCATATTAAATATTCTCCTTTTTTCCCATACCTGTGAAAAAAAAGATAGCTCAGTTGATAACTGTTGTATTTGGACTTTCAAGGTAACTTCACATGCTGAAAGTTTAAAGAAATTGGCTGTTGCATTGGCAGAGTTGGATGTGTCCTCTTCTCTGGCAGTTCTCGCTGTTAAACGAGGTTATGTTAAACCCATCATTGGAAATCAAAATGAATTTCTTGTGAAAGGGGGTCGACATCCGGTTGTAGACATGCTTCAGCCTAACAGTTTTGTTTGTAATGATTGTGACCTGGGCAAAAAGAACCTCTGGATTATCACAGGTCCAAATATGGGTGGTAAGTGCCCCTTCATTAGTAATCACTTTTTTAAGTTAGCCACTGAACTGTTGAAAAAAATTGTACTAGTTGGGCGAAATTTATCCTTCATATTTAGATAATGGATATTTTCCCATAGTTACACTTAGCCTTTTTATCAAATCGTGTCTAATGTATATCCATTAGTGGAAAGAAAGTTAAATTTATGTGTATGATTGATTGCTCTTTTTTAAGGTGTGGTACATAATTTTTGTTATTATGTGAAGCTTGGAAGGCTAACTTTCATACCTTGTGTCTACTCGACCAGAGGTTGTAATACCACTTACCTTGGTCCATTGCACTTCTTGAAATTATTAATAGAATATTAATATATAATTAAATATAAAATAATATATAATTTTGAGTGAAAAATAATCTTACGATCTTATAGGTAAGAGTACATTTCTTCGTCAAAATGCATTGATAGCCATTCTTGCACAGGCAGGCTCCTTTGTTCCAGCACAGACCGCAAAGATAGGTAAGTTGGAGAACAAAGATGTTTTTCTTGGTCTTCACCCTTTAAATCAATTTGATTGTAAATTTCACTACACACAGCTGTTTTAAAGAGCAGGACATTGTCCATCTGATAAATCAAGCAAGGTTGCTTAGATGAACACTAGCAGTAAAAGGCTTCCCCCAAATGAGCTACCAACCAAACCTCTAAACTACGTGGACCCACAGCTGACCAGTCATCCACTTCAAGTTTTAAACTTCTTGCTTTAAATGTTGAAACCTCTTTAAGGGGTGACTCTATGAGTTTGTGTCCTGTCTTGCACATTTTCCACTTTGCAACAAGAGTGATTAGCTGGGGGGTCCTTAAGGTTAGAAGATAACAGCCATCAAGCTGCATGGTGACCCTTTCCACTTAATTTACAACCAGAATATAAAGTGTTTGGTTTTTTTTTTTAATTTTTATTTTATTTTTCAAGGTGTTATTGATCGTCTATTTGCACGCATTGGGGCTACTGATAATCTAGTGCAACATCAATCTACCTTTATGTCTGAGATGCTTGAAACAGCTTTCATCCTCGCACAAGCCACTGAGAAGTCCTTAGTTGTTGTTGATGAAATTGGTAGGAATTCTGCTTCTTTTAATGTTCTTTGCTGTGATACAGAGTCAAAAATTGTTAGAGTGAACACCATATCCTGATTTCTTGTAAGAATGACCATTACCCGGGACAAGTTACCAAGTGATACATGTGTTGTTATGTATTCCAGAACTGTTCCATAGAAACATGATTACTGTTTTTTGTCTGTTTGTTATTATTATATGAACAAGTCAAGCACAGTTCTCCTTTAAGTGAGAGGATTAACTTAAGTGGGCCTGTTTTAGAAGTAAAAGGAAACAAGAAGCAAACAACAATACTTCTGTGGTTTTGGTAATAATCCCTTGAGACAGTTTGAATATCTTGAAAAAGTTGTGCTGTGGGTCTTTGTGTTACCTTCAGGTCGTGGTACATCAGTGCTAGATGGCGTGTCAATAGCCTGGGCTGTAATTGAACATCTTCACAGCTCCATTAGGTGCAGAACACTAGCCTCGACCCATTACCATCAACTGGGTAAACTGGCCCACATTCTGCCGCATGTTGACTGTTACCATGTTACTGCTTTGCACGCCAAAGATAGGTTAAGTTTCACATATAAAGTTAATGTAAGTAGCCGTGATAACATCAATGATGTTTTGATTAATAAATCATTTGTATAATGCTATTTACATTCCACAATCAGCAATTTTTATAATCCAAAATAACCTTATTTAACAGTTGTAGATACAGAGGGCACAAATCAGTTTGATTTACATTATAAAATTACTGTAACTAGGGGAATGCAAAACAAACTTATAGCACATGAAGGTCTTCCTCAGCATGATGTGATGATTGGAGAGGCCCATTAGCCTTGCCCTTGCAGTTGCTATAATTATAGTTTTGATTGGTAGGTTTACCATGCTGATTCAGAGTGCTAATTTTACTGAACAGTGATTTAGTGGTTTATGTGTTTTATCTTCACCTGGTCACACGCTGTAAACAGTATCTGTGAGGACCAGGCTTGAGCCTTGTTGAATTCATCACTGTTAACAGTTTAGTTTCTCATCATTTTTGTTGGACTTTTATTAATTGTTTATTTTTCATTCATTTATTTATTTACTTGTATTTTCATATGAATTTGTTTCCTTTAGCATGGGTGTGATCAAAAATCCTTTGGTATCGATGTAGCAAAACTTGCAGGGGTCCCCATAACAGTTGAGGCTCGTGCGAGGGAAATTCTCCAGGTTTTAGAGGACAAAGGAAACAGTTTGGAGGTCACTTTGGAAGAGGACAAACTGGTTTCAGAATCTTGGAAAACACAGAAAGGCAAAGAAAGCTCAAATACATCTCCTTTCATCACAACAAATGATTTGCAGGCTGAAAATGAAATCACCAGAGTGCTTCTTGAGCTTAATCCAGAGTTACTTACACCAAAGGACGCTTTAGAAATAATATATGACCTACATTTGAAGGCACAGTGTAAATCCTCCTGAAAGAATTACTAGTTATTCTAACTACATGTTATTTCTACAAACCGCCACAAATGGATACCACAAAACCTTCAAGTGCGTCTTAGGGAGATGAAGGATAGGATATTCATTGACAAATGTAAAGAGGTAATGCATCACAATACCATGGTAAAAACAGGTGTAGTTGGCTCTGGAGTCCTTCTGACATTGCCATCCATAAAGAGGAAATAAGAAATAAGAGCCAAAGCGACAAGGAATTCTTCAATCTGCTTCCTCGTATACTTCAGTGTTTGCCTGGGTGTTTGCAAGTTACATTTGTTTTTGGTGTGTGGAAAACTTAGTTGAAGTACTAATGTTCAGGTTGACTTTGAGAATGAAATTTGCCAACAGTTGGCAAAATACTACTGCAACGTTAATAGTTTAATAGTATAAGAATGGTAACAATCCAACAATGATCGCTAACCCTTCAACCCTGAAGAGCAACTAGAATCTAATTTCTTATCACAATATCATCCCTGAACTAAACATTAAGGTCATAAGAATAAAGGAAATGATCACCAACTGAAGTAGCTCGGGATTTTTAAACAAATTCTCCTTGTGGTGTATGGGGAACAGTACGGAGAATATGAATACTGATGTAAGGGTGTAGAAGGTTAAACAACGAGCTATGCCCATCATACCTTAGCAGAACTACTTTCACCCAGATGATCAGACTACATGATACCCACTATCGGTTTCAACTGATAATCTACTTTTCACTACATAACCTGCTGAGTTTTATTTAAAATTTGATTATACAACTCCACAAGTCCACAATTTCAATTTGCATGCATATGAGAGTACGAAAAACTGACTGAAGATCTCTAAACCAAATTATAGGCCTGAAATAATATGGAAACACTTATTTATGGTGTCTTTGTTGTGGTTCAATTTTATCCTTGGTTCAAATTTTATTTTCTTCAAACTTTCAAACTCATTGTGATACATTACAATACCCAAAAACAAAAGAAAACAAAATCTGAACCAAGGATGAAATTGAACCACAACATCTACTTGGAAGTTCAGCAGTGAGACCATAAAATAAATAACATCTTACATGTCCAAAGTTTCAACAGATTACATATTCAGCTACAGAAAATAGAAAAAAACAAACAACATTCAAACAGAATTGGTACCTATTTACTTGATATGTGGGAAAAGATCTATTTTACATATTGATTCAACCAGATGCAACATAGATAGCAGACACTTTCACTAGTTCACCAAACTGAATTCCTACTATTTACTTTAAGACATAAATTTGACTTAAGCCAACCAAGGAGTTCGGACCTTCCAACTGGCAGAGCTTATATTAGTTCCATAATGTTTATACTTTTAAATTATATGTGTCTAAAGGCCAAAATGTGCCACAATATGATCGTTTTCCTTACTAGCATCATTTGCCTTCAAGAGAAAAATCTAAAGCAAAATACTAGACCCAGGCATGTACAGTAAGTGTCTCCTTAATTTAAGTTTAAAGATCGTACCTTCCAAGAGAGAGGTCGATATGTCTAGTCTATAAGGTGGTAGTACAATACCAAAAGACACTGAATAAATACTGTACTACCATCCATGCAACAAGAAAAGTTTGTTGTGGTCAATGATGCAACTAGAATTACTACATCAGTGAATTGCTAACATTAATTCATTTTCAACTTTCTGCATCGTTTTGGATTAATTGACATGCGTTCCACCAGGCAAAAAGCACCATACATTTTGTATCATCAGGCACACCGTTAAGTGTAAGAATCCTTTTTACTCTACACTAGACTCTAAAAACAAAACAAACTTGACGGAAAGGTGTGAAAGTTGCCTTCCTATGTTCTGAATGGTGGATTTCAATCTACTCTGCTTGCTTCTGAATTACAATGACTGACAGTGGTGTATGAAACAAACTGATCATATGTTTGCTTTAAACTTCAGAGTTTTAAGTGTTTTTAATCCCAGTAAAAACATTACTGCGTGCCAAATCTGAATGAAGAAAAATGTAATTAACTTCTGATATTGCCTTCTGTGGTTGAAGCTTGCTTACCGAACTGAGGGTAAAATGAAACTATTAAAAGCTGTTCCTTACTTATGTTGGACCAATTGGTGCTTCAACTGTGAAGTGAGAGGAGAAATGTTTCTACTCTGAAATGTAATTCTCTTATATCCTAGGAAATGAATAACCATCTTAAGACCTGGATCTCTTTGTGTATTTTCGACTGACCAGTTTAATTAATCAATAGATTAAAGTTGTTTCTCACAAATTTAAAAAAGTTGTGTAAAGATAAATACAGACATCAGTACAATATCTATAAGGTATTTATATAATACATTTATTCAATTAATCTATTTAACAAACAGATAATAACCATTAAATAAAAAAGCTGCATGTCAAGTGAGATCAACTGACATGGGAGTGTTGCATTGTCTAATGAAGAAAAAACAACACATAAAGTGTGACTCCTAAACTATGATCAGAAGTTCTAACACAAAACTCTGAGGACATTCTTACAAGTCTTAAATCTCTTGCTTTAAAGTCTCAGAATTGTCCAATGAAAAACCTTCCCAGATTTCTACATCTAGTAAGCAGCCCACACAGCTAGCTAGCCTCTTCAATCTATACTTGTAAAGAATTTAGAAATTTCAAGGTGGCCAAATGAAAAAAAAAAGGTTAATTGCATTTTCATGCTCATTCAGACAACTTTAACCTGTGTCAATGAAACACTTTGGATTTTTATCAAAGAGTAACATGTTTTCAATTTGACAACAATTATAACCTTCCACTTCTACCATCTGACACTGCACCCCAAATGTCAAATATAAAATCGTCTGGGAACTGGAAATCTGCAAATTCTTCATCTACAGCCATAGCAAAATCACTTGGATTGGAGACTGTCTTACTCTTCAATACCAGTGTCTCAGCTGAGGAAAAAAAAAGGATCAGAGAGCCATATTACTTCTCACTACAGTGAGAAAGTTAAATCATCTGCAAAGGCTTCAAACATAATCCACCTCATAAATAAGACCAGAGTGGCATTGGCATTACTTTATTCAGCAACCAAAATGGAAATTGTTTTTTACCTGTTACGGTGATCTTATATTTATCACAAAAAAGGTCTCTTTGGATGCTGTGTCAATGTTCCATTTACAGTAAGAGCATTTTACTTATTAGCGGTTAGAATATATGGCATGGCAAATTGTAACTCTATCATAATAGCTCACCCAGATCAGGATCCCTTATTCCAATAAAGCTTTCCAATAGGTCATCTATTCTCTGAGCAGCTTTCAGTTCCCATGCAGGTGCCTGCAATTTAATAGAATAACAACATTCAGGAATTAAGTCATGTGCCAGACAGTACATATGTTTCCCCTTGTGGCCATTACTTTGGGTTGAAATACACTGAACAGCCCCACCCTTCTTATAAGGCTGCTTAAGCCAGACTGTTACTGTTTCATGTTGTTTTTCTGTGTCCCTTTAGAGGAAAAAGTAATAAATTGTACCAATCACATTTTCCTTCATTTGCTTTTGAGTAAACTAGGGCAACATAAACAAGAGGTGAAAGCATCACAATCTAAAGTTTCTCAGTAGTACTTAGTTCAAGAAATCTAGCCTTGCTGTAAATAGCCACCTGGCATGCCTCCGGCCAGATAGTTTTTTCCTAATATGTTACATTTGATTTAAATTGTCGGTCAAAATGATTCAATTTGGGCATTGGGTTTCACAATACCACCATCAAGTGATACCCTCCATAGAGAGAGCTTTTTTGAATGACACAAAATCCTTAATTAGTATATATTCATGAAAAAAGTTTGGGTCTACGGATTTTTGCTGATAGTCTCTAGAGAACTTGTACCATGTGAGCTTCATTTCCTTTAAAGAATATTTAGTAATAAAATAAACTCCTTCAGTTGGCTGGCATGCTAGCTAATAATGTCCACAGCTAAGATATTTTCCAAAAAATAAATAATTTATTTGGTGGGGAAGTGAGGCTTCAAAGACAAATGGGAAATTTTGGGGACAATTTCTCAGTCAAGGACATCATCAGCCAACATACCAGTAGGCAAGAAAGGGGTTTACTTATTCCATAACTCTTCCTTTAATTTTTTTTCATGCATTAACAGCAAATATTGTTGACTGTTTCATACTTTTCAGACCAGCATTTGAGATCAGTTTTTAATATCACCATCACTGGACTTCAGAGACAAAAAGTGAAACTCTTGAGCTAGCTTTTTTCTACTGACTTTGTGTCATTTCAACAGAAATCATGGGAGAACTTATCAATGTAAACAGGGCCTATTGTATGATAACTGTCAGGTGACTTTGCATCACAAGATGCAAAGAAGATAAGAATTCTGTAAAACTAATGGGTAGATGATAATGAGTGGTACCAGCATTTGATAAAAATTAAGTGATTGTAATATAGAATCAAGTGCAAAATAAATATGGCCATCCAGTCCCTGAGTTTTTAACCAGAAGGCTATCTGAACAATTTGGATCAGAAAGTTGTAATGGAAAGTATGTAGCAAAAAAAAGAACAGGCAAAAATTACTCTATGCAAGACTCATAAAATGGAAAACGAAGGATGCTTTGATGAAGAGTATACATTTATGCATACCAGGCCTGATGTGCACCCTAACATTTGGCAACGAAGCATTAAGTAAAATGTTGTGGTCTATATTAGTGGGTTTCAATAACTTTTTCCATAAGCTGCTGCAAATGGCATAACAGGTGGCTTTACCCAGAAAAGGGACACTCAAAGGAAACTAAGCCAAACACAAGTGCCTACTTGCAAGCTAAACAGATGGTGATGAAAGGTAGTTTTCCAAAACTTTTTAGTGAAATGGGACCTGAAATTCAAAAGCCAACATTTAAATTGACCTATTGTTGAGTTGAGCTCAGTTTAGTAACAAAGGCACCAGCCCTAAGTACCCCAACATGTGATATCACTTCATATCCATTGTAACTTGTTTAAAATAAAATTTCCAGATGTTATGATATCATACCATGATAACTATGCCTAAAATATCTTATGAGTGTAGCTTTGAAAAATTTCTCCACTATCACAACTCTGTTGCAGGAGACAGCTTAGGGTATATACACTGCTTCACAACGAGTCAGTCTGTCCAATCTTGCTCTCTTACCAAACTATGATTTCAGAAAAAAGCAATGATCTAACCAGCTAACCATGGAAAGAGTTCACTTAATTACAATGAGCAAATATTTATATTACAGTGCTATACATCATTTTTATAGACCTAATAGTGACTATCACCTCTTCTGTTTCCACAACAGGGGGACCCTTGGATCGTAATCGCAGAGTTGTCTTCCCACTTCCTACTGCATTAGCAGCTGAAGATGAACTGGCTCCACGACTTCCTGTCCTTGGACCAATACCCTCTGCAAAATGAAAAAGAACTTAATTTCATCAAGTTACAATTCAAGGTTGGCCTTTGCATAAGGTAAGAACAAGCAATGATGTTTTCAATTCTCACCATTGCTACTCAAAACTTGCAAACTTAATCTATGTAAGATTCAGACAAATGGGACCCCTTTATGCCATGCTCCCCTTCTACACCCCCCTTCCCCATCCTTTATTTGCAACCATCATACATTCCTCTCTGTTGCAAGAACTTTGTCCTGCCTATTGCACCCATTGGGTGGCTAGCATGTGATATGCTACAAAGATTTTCTAAGTCATACTTTGGTGCTCATTAAGGTTTGCAGTTGTTCCAGTCAATCAGCTTTGATGGTTTTGCACAGTTTTTGGTTTTGGTTGATTTTTTTGCAGTTTTGAGTTGTTTCTTTGTATGGTTTTTTCCTACTGTTTTGCAGTTTCTAATAGAACCCATTGCCCCTCTCCTATCACTATTATTGTGATGCAGATATTTTGATGCTTATCAAGCAACAACTTGTCAAGTGACCTTACAGTAATAATGTCATTACAGTATAGCAATTGTGGTGGTGGCCATGGGAAGGAAAGCCCTAGACTTCTGAACCTCTTGAACTTGGTAAATAAATAAAAGGCATACAAAGTAATTCAAATTAGCATCTCCAACTAGGAATTTTTCAAAAATCAAGCCAATGTTTGCACCAACACATACATGTCCCAAGTTGATGATATTACTAGTTGTAACAATATGTGAGTGTTTTCAGCTTTCTCTCTGGAAATAGAGGTTCTATACCAGATCCAACTTTACAGACCATATGTTTTCTATCGTAGAAAAGGTTATGCCAGAGAGGTCCTGAGAGCCTGTACAGAGATGATGTTTATCAGGTCTAAACTTGGGCTCAATAAAAATATAAATTTGCACTGCCTATCTTTTCTGAAAACATAAAAAGACTTCTGACTCAAGGTTAGTTTAAAAATGTTCTGATGGGGACTATCTTTTTGACAAATCTTGCTGTGGTGGCAGGAAAGTACGAACAATATGATGTTTTGTCCACCATATTGGATTTTGAGACCTACAACTGTTTACCTTAAAAAAAAAAAAGCTCCAGCTACTTAAAAACCTTAGAGAAAACCCTGTCTGAGGACAATAAATACCATGTTTGGGGGAAAAATTTTAATATTTCCTTCCTCATTCTTCCTTAGTGCTGACTTACCAAAGCTCCTCACAGGCTCAATCAACTGAAAAATGATTTCCTCTCCAACTGGAAGCTCTCTTAACATACGAGCTACATCATAGTGCCTAGTACCAACAACAGTTGTGTTGTTTATAGCTTCTATATGATCTCCAATGCAAATCTGAGCCACTCCATCTGCAATGCTTCCTTCTTTGATGCGTTTGATAAATGCGCAACCCGCTCCATTATCTGTTATGGTAAGACCCAAGGCTGGGCTTGTTTTTAACACTGTCACAGTTTTGCATTGTCCTTTGACATGTGCAAATATAAAGTCATCAAGTCCAATTTGCCCTCCAAGTAACCTTTCCATGTCAATTCTATATGTATTTAGTGTACAAAACAAGATCTGGAAAGAAATGTAAATTTTTCAGGTCAACACTTAGGAATCCTCAAGTCAAGAAGTGATTGAGCAGCAGGGTTTGAAAAACAATTCCTCCCTGGAGAGCCATGTTTAATTTAATTTAATTCCTATGCCTGTAATTTGAATTTTCTTCATTTCTTGAAAATCCCAACAACATGAAAGTTCTTTCCCATACTTTTGGTGAAAAAGAAGCTTACAATGTATTGTGGGACAAAATCTTAGGCTTACTGGGCATGTTGTCCAGTCATTACCAAAGATTTTGTTTTGGACCTTAATTCTCTAGTATATCATTCAGCAATTGATAACTGGGGGGTAGCCTGTCAGAGGCCTGTTGGTTATGTGTCAGTCAACAGGTGTTTTCAGGGAGCTGTTCTTCATGATCATTAGGAACAAAGAGATTTACATTTCAATAAAACACATGTACTCTATTTTCCACTATCTGATTTTTTTCCAATAAAAATGGGGGATAACTGCACTTTTATGACCAATTTTGTGATTTACCTTACCCATGGGCTCTGAACAAAATAAAAGTGGCCACTTTGGTCTCTTGTGTGAACAGTAACTGTATAAATATATCAAGCCTAACAGAGTTAGAATGTGGTATGACTTTGGCGTGAATACCATTAAATGAACTAGACATTGGTGTGACCAAAGCTGGACAAATAAATTGTCTGGCTCCCAGCTAAAGAGCCACACAAATGATAAGCTCTCACCTGGGCCATAACGGGCCAGACAGGGTCAAAGGCCCTTATAAAGAGGAGAAGCCCATTAAGTTACCAACCATCCTTAAGATTAACAGATAGGTAAGCTAATTTTTCATAACAGTTCTCTTTTTTTGGTCCCAATGCCTTGAGAGCAATAATTGGCTTTCCATTATTGGAATGGATCAAGGTGAGACCAAGATGCCATAACATAGAGCAGCATTAAATCAATTTGCAATCATGTAAACTTTGTTCCCTTTTTTTACTGGCTACATGACTACTTTGCTTCAAACTTCAGCATAAAAAGCCAATACCATAACCTTAAGTCAAATGCAAGACTGAGGAAACTTCTGTGGCTTGCAGAGGACATGCAGCCATATATGCCTCCATATGCCTTATTTTCACATAAGAAATAGCATCTTGTTAAGAGACAAATTTTCCTTTTAGGTTTGTTTCACTTGAATATTTCATTTATCAAAAAACGTTACATACACTTAACCTGATTGGTGTAATGAGTGATAGTTTTTAATACAATAGTTTATCTCAATAAAGAATACAACTAACTGGTCCCTGAAAATGTGTTAAATTTTGAGAAAAAATATTTGTAGCTTTAGCACATCTTCTACATATAAGAAGGAAAGGTTCATATTTTAAACATGTAAACATCAGTGCATTTGGTCTATTTTGATGTTTAACTGAATTTGATAAGTTTATCAATAAACTATTTCCTTGTTATTTATATGTGTTTATTTGAGCTCTATGGCCAAAGTTAGATTTAAGTAAGGACAAGGTATTTGGACAACTATGTCACTAATTATTTCTGTGCTGTCAGGCCAGTGTCTGACTATTGTGTCAGATTTTTTTTCTTGTTGTGTATGATTTCTTTAGCTCTTGTCATGCTAATTACCCCTCTTTTTAGTTTGAGAGCCAGGACCTTAAATCGTAGGTAATCTTTACTTTTCTGTCACATTTGGCTCTTGTGTGGTTGATGCTATACTGTCTCATGTCAGGTTAAAATTTCTGGCCAAATTCACACTCTTGTCCAGACATTTTCACACAGGTGTTCTCATATAAAATTTATGCATAGTAAGGATGCACAGTGCAGTACAACAGAATCAATTAATGAATGAAATACATTTCACTTATCTTAATTTAAAGTCCCAAGATGGCTGTGATCATTCACGGTCATTCTTGGTATCTCACCATTACCTATGATTTTAGTTTTATTTTCAGCATTAAGAACGCCCTGCCAATATGCAAGTTGCTTGAGCTATTTACACAAGTTCAAGCTAAGCTTCGACCAAACTTATTGAATTATGAACTAGTAAGCTTTCACAGACCTATACACAGATCCAAAGTGGTGAAAAATAATTAAATCTAAAGTAAGCACATGTACCATGTATATATTTATTATTTAGTAAATCGTAAGTGCACAACAAGTTGCCTTCAACTTTAATTAGTGATGTTTCAAGGACACTTACTTGATACCACAACCATTTCATACAAAGTCGTATCAACAAATTAATAAGCATACAGTTGTACACATTTCTACCGAATCCATTAGCTTTAGTCTTAATTAGATCGGCTTTTGCTAATAGTTTCCACTAACCTCCTTTGACTGCATTTTAAAGACCTCTGCGATTTTTTGATAGAGTTCTTTCACGTTTGTAAATCCTTCCACTTTTCCAGTGGCGCTTCCATGAGCTAACTGACAATAGAATACAAACTTTGGCGGAGGAATTGGCGGTGATGGTCCTGAGTCTGTTCTTGGTGGATGGGGTGTTCTAGAAGCCATATCATTAGATTTGGAAGAACGCGGAGGTTCCGGGATTTGAACAGACGGATGCATTTGTGAGGTATTTTCTGTTCCAGCGCTTCCGGAGCGATTATTCGATAGTTTTTTATCTCCATCAGTTTTGCGAGAGTCGGAAATATTTGCTCCCCCTTTCTTAAAAAGAGGCATCATAAACTTGCCCAATAGTAGTTCACTAACCGCCGTCAGTCAGCACATATTATATGATCGGGACTGATCAAGACTAATTCCTCTTGAAGTAAGGTATAAACTAGTTCCCAGTTCTTTTGAATCAGCCCAGACATCCCTAAAACATATCCCCTCTAGGGGTACCAAAACACTGTAAGTGAATTAAATTCAACATGATCTCGAGACCGAAATAATGATTATCGTTACTTTAATTGGCCCTGAAACAACGAATAGCATTATTT